AAAGAAAGAAAGAAAGAAAGAAAGAAAGAAAGAAAGAAAGAAAGAAAAGAGAAAGGTGATTATTTCCAAACTATATGAGTTGTTTTGTATATTTTGTCCAAAGTAGAACTGCCAGATTATGTGGCTTAATTTCCAATAGTTTATGTTTTTGCTTGAGCTACAATTGTTCTCAACTGTCTAGTCATTCACTATTTTACTTATTTATTCAACAAACATTTATCAATTCAGGAAACTATGCTAAGTCCTAGGAATATGAAGATAGACCCTGTTTCTGGAAGTCTTTAGTCTAGTAGAGAAGGAAAGAGATATACATGAACAAGCACTATAGTATCATAGGTGCTGAGTTAGAGCCTTAATGGAGTATATATTAGACCCGATAGCTTTGAGATCCACACATTATCCTTGAACAAGATAAGAAATGTGACAGGGGTCAGGACTATAGTACCTCAAGCTCCACATTTCATGTGTCACAAAAGTACCAACTTGTAATGTCTTCATACCTGTTAAAACAACTCCAAAATTGTTTTTAAACTTAGAATCTTAAGGATTTTCAGATTCCATCCCCTCATTTTATACAGGAGGGAGATAAAACTCAAGAGAGGTTAAATGGTATACTTGAGTCACGCAGTTACTGCTGACATTTCCCACATCTCCTGATTCTCAGTGATTGAGTATCGTACTACAAACAGATTAGTTTATAGATCCCTGAGATCAGACATATCCTAGATCTCCTCCTTCCTTGCAACACCTCAGAGGCTGAAATAGTGAGAGCTTGACATTTGTTGAGTGCTTGCTATGCGCCTGTTACTGTGCTAAGGATTTTATGTACATTACCTCATTTAATCTACAAAATAACCTTGCCATTTTCACAGCTGAGGAAACTGAGCTCTAGAGAGGTGAAGTGACATCATTGCCCAAGACATATCACCAATAAGTAGAAGAACAGGGACTGAAATAAACTCTGTCTGGTACCTTGTTCTTAGCCACTATCTCGTAATACCCCAAGTCTACTGTTTCCCTTTTGGGATATGGGGGTAACCAGGGACATAGCCTTGTAAGAGACCATGTTGCTTCCTGTTTTGTAATCCCATCTTTCCTCTCTAATGGATTATAAACTCCATGAGAGCAGGAACTACGTCTATTGTGTTACCCTCTGCATCCCAAGCCCTTAGTACCTGGGTTATAGCAACAACTTAACTCATCTCCTTTCAGTCTTTCCTAATCTGTCCCATGCATGCCTCCAGACTAATCCTCATGAAGCCCCACTTGCCTTCATAGTACTTCATCTCACAGAGTTTCAGAGACTTGCTTTGTCTATCAGATAAAATTCATTCATTCAACAGCTATTTACTAGGCATATACAGGGTGCCAGGCCTCATACTGTCCCCCCTTGTGGTTTGGATGTGGTGATGTACAAGATACAGTGTCTGCCCTCAGAATTCAGCTCTGATGAGAGTGACCATCATATAACCAGCAAATACCATACGCTGTGATGAGTTCTACAATAGCAGTAGGCCCAGAATGCTGTGAAGGCAGGCAGAGTGGCATCTAAACCTGTCTGGGGTGGTTAGGGAAGGCTTCCAGAGTTGATGTCTAATCCAGAGGAACTGAAGCCACGTAGGAACTTCCCATAGTTCAAATAACTTTCTGACATCAAACAAGTCTGATCAAATGAAACCAATCTATTTACTGTTTCTCCCAAAGCTCTGGTTTCTGACCTCTGGATTATGTATTTCCCTTACTTGGAAAGACACATCCCATCTTCCTTCCTTCTCTCATCTTCCTGGCTTTTGTCTTTTGAAATCCTATTGTTCCGTTAGTCTAAAGCCAGAGGGGTCTTCACAAAATATAATCTGAGCATATGACCCAAAGCCATACAATGACGTACCACAGTCTTCTTTAGGCTCTTCTAGGAAATCCCTCTCCCTCCACTGCCTTCTCCCATGACTTCCCTGCCCCAGATTTTCTTTTGGCTGGTTCCTACTGTCCCTCATAATTCAACCTAAATATCTTCTCTTCCATAAAGCTTTTTCTGAATCCTCCCCTCTCCAAATATGGCTTTGTGTCCTTGATAGGTTTTCTCACTGCACCTTACGTCCCAAATCCCAGCTCAGCATTTTACTAGTTGTGTGAAAGAAGGAAACCTCATTCACCTTCTAGTTCTTTCATCTGGGAAAAGGAAGTAATAACACTCAAAGTGGCTGCTCCACACCAAAATCTGTATGTGAATATTTATAGCAGCATTACTGATAATAGCCAAGAGGTGTAAACAACCCAAATGTCTATCAACTGATGAATGGATAAATAAAATGTGGTATATCCATCCATACAACAGAATACCATTCAACCGTAAAAAAGAATGAAGTATTGATCCGTGTTATAATGCAGATGAACTTTAAGGATATTATGTGAAATGAAAAAAATCCAGTCACCATGTATTATATGAGTCCATTTATATAAAATGTCCAGAATAGGCAAATATATAACCATAGAAGTAGCTGAGTAGTTGCCTAGGGCTGAGGCATTGAGGGATGGGGGCTGTAGTTAAAGGGTATTAGGTTTATATTGGGGGTGATGAAGCTATTCTAAAATTTATTGTAATAATGGTTGTGCAACCCTGTGAATATACTAAAAACCGTTGAATTGTGCACTTTATTTTTATTTATTTATTTGAGAGAGAGAAAGTGCAAGCGGGAGGTAGAGCAGAGGGAGAGAGACAAGTAGACTCCACGGTGGAGTCTGACATGGGGCTTGATCCCATGACCTTGAGATCACATGAGCCAAAACCAAGAGTCAAATGCTTAACTGAGCCACCCAGGCACCCCAAATTGTGTACTTTAAATGCCTGAATTGTATAGTGTGTGAATTATTTCTCCATAAAGCTATTATAAAAATGAATTAATAAATGAATGAATGAATAAATAAATAAATTCAGAGATGGCTACTGGAGATAAAGTAGAATAATTAGAATAATGCATATGAAGTACCTAGTGTATTGCTTGGCAAATAAATGGCATTCAATAAATACAGCTTCTTTTTCTCAGTAAATATACATACATTTGTTTCTATATAGAACATTTATTGAGTTCCTCCTATATGGTAGGTATGCTTATGTTAAATAATTTTCACAATAACCCTGAAAGATTAGTGATTAATTGTTATTCTCACATTTTAAATGTAGGAAACAAAACTCAGAGAGGTAACGAGACATATCAGAGTCTAACTAGTAGAGCCAGAATTCAAGCCTTGCTTTCCTACCTCCTAGTCGAGTAATATTTTTAACACATAAATTTCTCTGAATGCTAGTTTTTTCTTCCTTATAGAAGCTTCTCATTTATTTCAGGATAACTAAGAATTTCTCACAGAAACGAGTTGGCCTGTATAAAAGGTTAAACAGAGGTCCAAGTTTAGGGGAATCAGTAAACCCTCATAATTGTATGTAAAATTTGGTCTGTATTGATCGGTTTGTGTGAGAAAGAGTATTTGGTTTTTAAAGTCACAGATTTTACAAAAAAATAGATACTTTTTTTCATGATTTAAAGGGACAGAAAATGTTTACCAGAGTAGTAAGTAAAAACTTACCTAGTAGAACAGAATGATTATATCAGCTAATATGAGGTAATTCATGTAGGAAATAGATATAATAAGCAGGCTTACAATGAAAATGTTAATATAAAAGTATAAGATTTATAATTACCAGATATTCTATAGGTATTTAGGGATTAAATTTTTTTAGTTTTATTGAGATGTAATTGACATACAACATTCATTGTATAAGTTAAAAAGTATAACTTTTGTTTTGTATAACAATGATTTTATATATATATATATATACAATGCAAAATGATTATCACGGTAAGATTAGTTAACATCTGTCACCTCACATAGTTATGATTTTTTTTCCTGATGATGAGAACCTTTAAGATCTGTCTTAGCAACTTTCAAATATACAGTATTGTATTGTTAACTGTAGTCTTCATGTTGTACATTACATCCCCACAATTTATCTTGTAACTGGAAATTTGTACCTTTTGATCACCTTCACCTAATTCCTCCATCCACCACACCCCCACCTCTAGCAACCACAAATCTGATCTCTGCTTCTATGAGGTTTTTTTTTTTTAGATTGTACATATATGTAAGATCGTTCTGTTATGAACATGGGGTGGGGTGCAGATATCTTCAGACAGTGATTTCATTTTCTCCAGATACCCAGAAGTGGAATTGTTGGATCATATGATATTTCTGTCTTTAATTTTTTGAGGAACCTCCATACTGTTTTCCACAGTGGCTGTACCAATGTACATGCCCATCAACAGTGCACAAGGACTCCCTTTTCTCCACATCCTTGCCAGCATTTGTTATCCTTTGTCTTTTTTAGGATGGCCATTCTAGCAAGTAGGAGGGGAAGGGATTAAATTTTTAACCAAAAATATATATAAAGCACTCTTTTTAGGATCATATTGCCAATGGCTTATAATTATAATTTTAAATATCCTTTCTTTTCTTTCAAGAGATAATTTGTGACATCGCTGAATTGGAATTATTGAATAAAATCTTGCCCTTACCAAACTCCAGGTTAGTAAAGTCAAGACAATCATCTGCAAGCCTGAGAGTCATGACTGCCTAACTCATCCTGAGTTGCTGGCTTAACAAAGCATAGCATTTGGGAGTAATATTTCTATATTTAGTATTTGAATCTTTTCCCAATCCCTTCTCTCTTTCCACCTCTTCACCCCCACACCTGACAGAATCTTGACTTAAGGTAGAAAGTAATCCATAAACATAAGTTTAAGCTAAATGTATTTGATTTCCTTTGTGTTTGACAGTTGTAAAAACTGAAATCCTATTGATACCTTATCCCTGTAACCCCAAAGTGCTACCAAGAGATCCTGTTTTCACCAAGTCCTCACATATGGCCATTCTTAGTTTTTCAGGAACAGGTTTAGTAGAGTTGGTTGGAAGTCTTCAAGAGATTAAAGAACATACATCAGAAGCAGCAACGGCAAACCCCAAGTCTCCCGACTCTTTCGTGTTCACAGAATTCTGAAGCTGGATACATGATCGTGGCTTTTCTGAAAGAGACACACTGTATCCAAGAACAAGACCAAAAGTCAGACCTATAAAATCACTGATGGCTAAGACTAGATGGATCAAAGTTGCTAACTTAAAGCTTGGGCATGAGGGTGGAACATGACATGGAGAAGAGTTACCGTGGATCCCCACTGGATGTCAACCAGGAGTCCTCAGAATTGCTGATAAATTCATTAAACCAGTTTTAAAAATAGATTCTCAAGTTTGTTTAATATCCTCAAATATCCTTGTATTGATCAGTAATAGTGACTTAAGTTCAATGGTTTAATTAAGGGTCTGTTCAGCAGAGCACATATATAGCTAATTCAGCACTTTCCCCCTATTATCATGGGTATTATTTATTTTTTAAAAGTAAAAACAATGTAATTGTATTAAAGCAAATACTTTAAAAAAGAAAATCTCCTGGGCTCCTGGGTGGCTCAGTTGGTTAAGCATCTGCCTTCGGCTCAGGTTATGATCCCAGGGTCCTGGGATCGAGTCCCGCATTGGGTTCCTTGCTCAGCAGGGAGTCTGCTTCTCCCTCTGCCTCTCCCCCCTGCTTGTTCTCTCTTCCTCTCACAAATGAATAAATAAAATCTTTAAAAAAAGAAAAAGAAAAGAAAAGAAAATCTCCTATAATCCTGCATTCTCAAGACAACTATTTTCATGTATTCCTTTTTGGTTCTTATTCAAATGCATATATTTTTAAGTGGTTGTTATATTGTATGTTCATTTTCACAGCCTGATTTTTAGTTTAATATACCATAGAACACGGGTGCCTGCCTGGGTGGCTCAGTTGGTTAAGCGACTGCCTTTGGCTCAGGTCATGGTCCTGGAGTCCTGGGATCGAGTCCCACATCAGGCTCCCTGCTCAGCAGGGAGTCTGCTTCTCCCTCTGACCCTCTTCCCTCTCATGCTCTCTATCTCTCATTCTCTCTCTCTCAAATAAATAAATAAAATCTTTAAAAAATATATACCATAGAACATTTTTCTGTATTTCAATAGTCTTCATATTAATTCTTTCAGTAGCCACATGATATTCTATCATGTTGATGTTTTATAAATTCTCTCGTTGTTTGCACTTAAGTTGTTTCTACTTTTTCACTATTTGAGATTATGCAGTGGTGAAAGTCTTTGTGAATGTAGCTCTTTTTTTCTCTTGAGTTACTCCAGAAAAGATTGGCATAATTGGGTCAGAAATACAAATGTTATATAGTTTTGGTATATCACTTGTTGCGTTGCTTTAAAAAAAAAAAAGTGTCAACATAATGTTTCTATCGTCAACCTCTTTTTTTCTTTTCTTTTTCCTTTTTTTTTTTTAATTAAGTAGGCTCCATGCCAGCATGGAGCCCAACGTGGAGCTTGAATTCACAACACTGACGTCAAGACCTGAGCCGAGATCGAGTGGGATGCTTAACCAACTGAGCCACCCTGGCGCCCCTATAGTCAACCTCTTTTAAGCCTCAATTTCTTGGTCCATAAAATGGGAACAGTAGTCATTCCTGTCTCATAGAGTTGTGAGAACCAAATGAAATGAAATGTGTATTTAGAACTTAGTAGCTGCTTAACAAAAGCTAGGTATCATCATTTATTTTCACCATCACTTTGTACTAGTTTTTCCACAACCTCATCAACATTGGATATTACCAATTTAAAAAATTTATGTTAAAATAGTTGCTATAAATTATACTGAAGGGTGATTCCTGCTGTTCTTTCTTCCCATCCTTATTCTCCTCCTTTTTCTTCTTCAATTGGAGATAGAGAAGGAGACCAAGGGGAAAGGAAAAGTAACCAAAAATAAAGACACCTGAAGTTGAAACATTGAATTTTTATATGTAACCCTTGCTTCCTCAGATGACTGACCTAGAAAGGATGATCAAAGGATATAGGACATAATAGCTATGATATCAGATATATGCTCTGACTCCAAACCTTGCCCAAGGTCGCCTTTCACTATTGAATCCCTACTATGTGCTATTCAGTAGTAGGCATTAGAGCTACACCTGTGAAGACAAACAGTTTCTGCTTTCCTGGAGTTAATGTGCTATTAGGTTGGAGGGTAGGTATGTGTGTGTGACAGGGACACAGAGGTGGGGAGATAGACCATATAATTTTGGATGGTGAGTGGCATGAGGAAAATAAACTAGTGATGCATCTGAAAGAGTGGCCATGGGCTACTTTAGGTTGAGTGACCGCTGAACTGAGACCTGAGCTACAAGGAGTACTCCCTACCTTCATTAAGACCTAGAAAAATGTTAAAAACAGTTAACAGCTAGTACCAAGACTCTATAAAGAGAGTATCTATCTCCATGACCTTGAGGGACAGAAAAGCCAAGTATCATGATTGAGGGTGATACAAGATGAGGCCAGGTATGCGCGGCCAGATAATGTAATGTAGGCCTTTGTATATAAGGAATTGGATCTTACTCTAAATATGGGAAGCCAGGAATGATTTATAAACATTTATTTAAAAAGCTCTAGCTGCTCTGCAGGAATAAATTGTAAGTGACAGGAGTGAAAGCTTGTGGCAGAACTAGAACTAAAATTCTGGTGTCCTGACTTAACTGAAGGGCTACATATGCCAGGCTGTTCTAAGCGCTGAGGATGAACAGATTCCTGCCTTCGTAGGGTTCACAGACTAAGGGGCAGGGATAAGAAACCGCATATATGCGGGCTCAGAGGTCCTGGCCCCGCCTACTGCCGCAACGCCCAGTTTGGGTGCTGCAGGCCGAAAGACCTCCGCATCAGGGGCGGGCGGGACTTCCGGGGGGCGGGGCCTGGCCTCGGTTGGCTCTTTTTGCGCCTGCGCCGGAGAGTTAACCCGCAAAGCGGGGATGAGGATCGCCGGAACCCATGCGTCCGTCTTCTGCTTCCGGGTCGGAGCCATGGCGGTGGCAAATTCAAGCCCTGTCAATCCCGTGGTGTTCTTTGATGTCAGCATTGGCGGCCAGGTGAGGTCCAGGCAGCCACTGCGCCGAAGGGACACTGCACGGGGCCAGCCGGGAAGATCTCACCCACCCAGGGATAGCGGACACGAGAATCCAGAAAACGAAACTGGACCAGAACCTACCGACCTGCGGGGCGGGGGCACGGGAGGGGGAGGAGGAGTCTTGCCCATCCTAGCGCCCCGCAGGGGGAGGGACTGGGCGGCATGGAAGGAGAGGCTGTGGAGGCGGAGGTGGCAACGGGGAGAGAGGGGTCAGCCCCTCCAGTTCTCTGCTCGCTGAGGCCTTCATGGTCTTGGACCGGGTATTCTGACCATCTCCCGCCGCTTTCAGGAAGTTGGCCGCATGAAGATCGAGCTCTTTGCGGACGTTGTGCCTAAGACGGCCGAGAATTTTAGGTAAGGAGATGATCCAGCTCTGCTAGATTAACTGAACCAGAAGCTGGACTCGGTACGCGTTATCCTCTGCCTCCCTCTATCCGTCCACTCGCTGCCCTGGAGATCGGAGTCCTCTCTGTAGCTCTCTGAATAGTCACCGTTTTTACTCTTCCCGTATCAATTTTGTTGTTAATTTGTATGCTTAGGTGTCTGGATGTCGGCTGGCCCTTTGGTGGGCTTGCTGGCGCGAATGTCTGTGCTCCCCCCATCCCCACCCCATTAAGGGCGCCGTCAGCTGTGATGTCATGGTGACTGAATCGTTCACTCATTTCCCTTTCAGGCAGTTCTGCACTGGAGAATTCAGGTCAGTCTCAGACGTGGTTGATTTCTCTGCTTGCTCTTGAAGGGTGTCCTGGGGCTGCAGTGGGGTTTTGGGGAACCACCGGCAGGACTTGAATGATTGCTGGTGACAGTAATAGACTTCTTCCGACTATCTTTAGGAGAGTCCCTTGGCTCCAGTGGGTGGTAAACTGGACAGGCCTATGATTACCTGTCATCACTCCAAGTTTCTTTCTTTTTGGTTATAGAAAAGATGGGGTTCCGATAGGATACAAAGGGAGCACCTTCCACAGGTAAGGCCTTGGCAAGCCATCCTGCAGGCTTTTAGAATTACTTCCTTGGGGGATTTGTCTCTTTAGAGGGAAATAAAACCATAGGATAATTCCTAGATCTTGAGAAGAAAGTTTTTGGGAACTCAACAATTGATTTGAAGGCTTATTAAAAGCCACAGTGATAAACATTTTATTTTTAAATCAATGTTAATCTAAAGTATGACTAAATGTTTTTCTAAACAACAGAACCTTCTCTCAGGATCCTTTATTCTCTGTTTCAGGGTCATAAAGGATTTCATGATTCAGGGTGGGGATTTTGTTAATGTAAGTACTATTTCTTTGCTATCAAAGCCCTATAGGAATATTGTTTTTTGTTATTGCTGAGCTACTATTTCTACTACAGGGCCCAGTCCTAAGGCTTGAAACAATAGCCAAGTTTGATGGGGAACGGGGGTATAGGAATGTCCTTTAGAGTTGCTGTCTTACTACTCTTTATACTACTAGATGACAGACATCAGCACTTTGAGTCACTGACTTCCAAATCCTAGCCTTTTAGGGCCAGAAACTGAACTTTCCCAGCATACCTATAGATGATCCATGAGAGATACAAACTAGTTAGTCACATGAAACTTGGATAGAAATCAGATGCAATTTTTTTTTTCCTAAATGGCAGTAAGTCCTTTTTCAGTGAGCTCAGTGCTTATACTCTAATTCCCTTCCACCTCTGGTATCACAGTGCCTGGAAAGTGAGTTTTTTCATCAAAAATCGATTAGTGGGCAAAGAATCAGAGCAACAGAGGTAGATCGTTCTGGAGTGATGTTTCCTCTATTTACTAGCAGAGCCTAGGAGAATAGTTCTTCACTGTGAAGCATAACTTTCTTGTGACTAGACTGTATGTGTCTTTCATACCAACCCTCTTCCCCTTCCTCTGACCTTGGAGGGTGCTTGAATAAACCATATCTCTTCTTAAACCTACTTTTGTCCTTAGCCAACCACTTGTGTGCATGTGCATGGTGGTTTTTCTTACTAATATTTGGTTAGTCATGTTGCTATTTTCTTGAATCTGGGAGACACTCTTTGTCCTTCATGTGTATATTTATTTAAAGTCTTAGGAGTTTTTAAAGACTTGTTTCCTGTCTAGGTAAGGTTACAAAGTGGCAGATTTTAGGTTGAACCAGGCTTTCAGATATGCTTTGTTTCATGTGTGTTATGTT